CACATAGAAGGATTTGCTCCTGAGGTGAGGTGAGGCTCTTGTTGGCAAACTCGAGTTATTTTTTCACTCTGTGAAGCACTGGGAAGGCTTTGTGTTTTTTTTTACACCTCTTTGTTTCCTTTCCATTTTCTGTCTTTTCGTTTTATGACACCTTGATTTGTGAAACTGGATTTTATCTTCCAAAATATGTATATAAGCTGTTGCTGCTGCTTTTATTCTTCTTTCTTCAAGGGATAATAGTAAAATGTGAAAAGGACTTCCCACTTTCTACTCTCTTAAATTTCCTTCAAAGGCATCATATAGTATAGAAAGTTACCACATATTTGGGTGATGTATGATTCCTAGATGTAAGATACTTTGTTCAGTTGTATTGTTAATTTCAATAACGGTAACTTCTATCATGGTCTTCAGTTTGTAGCATCCTCTTAAGCAATCTAAAACTGTATAGCATTTGTTCATCTACTATGCTCTATAACCGGTTGTCATCATTCTTTAGGTTGCTTGGGTTACAAAATNTCATCATTCTTTAGGTTGCTTGGGTTACAAAAACTGGAGAATCTGATCTGGAAGTCCCCATTGCGATTCGACCAACAAGTGAAACAGTGATGTATCCTTATTTCTCTAAGTGGATAAGGGGACACCGTGACTTGCCCTTGAGACTTAACCAGTGGTGCAACGTTGTGCGGTGGGAGTTTAGCAACCCAACCCCCTTCATCAGGTTTACTTTTTGAGTTAATTCTTTTACCAGCCTCTTATCAGAAAGTTGATGTGCTCTATCTGCAACTTTGTTTTGCAACTTGTTTAAGCTAATCAAATCCTGCATTACATCTTTATGGGGAGGATGGACCTAATTGTTATCTCCTTTCTTCTACCTGCCCCGCATGTATATTTAGCTTATTCATTATAAACATCAACCTTCTATTCATTTGAGATCATCATGCTGTGTGTAACACTCCTTGCCTGTGTTCCTTACTCAGGAGCCGTGAGTTTCTTTGGCAAGAAGGACACACTGCTTTTGCAACTAAGGAGGAGGCAGATGCAGAGGTATTTCGGTTATATGTTACAGTATGCAATTGATCATTAAAAATTCTATACAGGGTAGTATCAGTGTTTTTTTTTGGTAATTAAATTTCTTTTGTATTAATCACCAAAGAAAGACTATACAAAACCATATCCATGCTAACTCAGCTGACTATCTCAAAACTGAAAGACAAAACAAACCGTACCTATTTACAAACAAAATTATTCAATCTACTCTGTTCCTAGCCAAAACTGTTGTATGTAACTCCTAACTCGAGTAGCTACTCTAGCATTGCATATGTGTGCTATTTCTCGCACCAGGACATCATTCCCTCGATACCTTTGCTCAAGTATACATGTGTTTTTTTCTATCCATATTGCATGTGAAATGTCAGCATAGATCATTTTGAAGATGCTAGCCTTCTTGGACTTCCCTTTTCCCTGTTTGATAATCCACTGAAGATGTTGATCCCAGCAAGTGGTAGCCGTATGTGATCTTTGGACCCAAGTCGTTACTTTCTTCCAAAGTTCTCTAGTGTATGGGCATTTAACAAAGATGTGCTTCCTTGATTCATCCTGATCTTGACACATAACACACTGAGAGGTAACAGTTATACGTCAACTGGCTAGCCTATCTTTAGTTGGCAATCTACCATGGAGCAACAACGCCTTTGGCCTAGCAGTATTCTGGAAAATCAGACATTTCCAGCTTACTCTTGGTAAATCACCTAGGAGCTGCAGGTATATTTGTCTAATGATACTTTTCCTATTGTCATGTATATTATGTGTCTGCAGCAGAGTTGCTCTGGATCCAATTATTCATCTCACCATCCAGCTGGCTTGCTGAGGTATAGGCATCTGTTGGAGCTGCTGGTGTTTGATATAATATGCATTGATCCACCTTATTCCTAGCTTGTCCTGTTTATGTGTTAAGTCCCAGCAAGTTTTGGCAATAGCTGCTTTGTTCAGAGGAAGGTTGATGAGGTTAAGTCCACCATCTGACTCGGGAGTACAGATTTTTTCCCATGCTACCAAGGACATCTTGTTTATTGTATTAGTTCCAGACCAGATGTAACTTCTACAAAATGCCTCTATCATTTTCAGTACCTTAGCAGGTAAAATAAACAATTGAGCTCAGTATGCTTGTATGCCAAAGATTACAGATTGGACCAGCTGCACACGACTATCATAAGACAACTTCTTAGCAGTCCAGGAAGAAATCTTGGCTGTGATCTTTCAATCAATAGTTAAGAGCTATTTTCTTTGTAGACAAAGGAATGCCTAGGTACTTGAAGGGTAAGGATGCCTAGGTACTTGAAGGGTAAGGATCCACTTGTAAATCCTAGGTGTGCCAATATCTGGTCCTTCACAGCTTGCTTTACACCACCAAAATATATTGAACTTTTTCCTAGATTAGCCTGTAAGCCTGATGCCTGAGAATTGAGTAAAGCATTTGTAAAGTATAGCCACTGAAGAGAGATTATGTTAGCAAATAACAGAAGATCATCAGCAAAACTCATATGAGTAATGCCCAGCTTCCTACATCTGGGATGATATTGGAAGTAAGGCTCCTTCTTAAGTCCATGCAATGATCTAATCAAGTATTCCATCACTATAGCAAACAGACAAGGGGAGATAGGGTCTCCTTGTCAAAGACCCTTGGTAGCATCGAAAGGTTATATGGTTTCCCCATTCACAAGAATAGTATAGTTGACAGTCTTAATATCTGATAAACCTGTCAGGAAACCTAAGCTCCTCCGTAACCTGCTGTAAGGAGATCTATTCTACTGAGTCGTAAGCTTTCTGAAAATCAATCTTTATCATACATCTAGGGGGATATCTGAGCTCTTGTGTAGGATTTGACTAGCTCATGAGCTAGAATGACATTATCAGCAATCTTTCTACCAGGAATGAAGCATGCTTGAGCCTCACAAATGATGTAAGGCATGGCTTTCTGTAATCTGGAAGCCAAGATTTTAGAGATCATCTTGTAGAGGATTGAACAACAACATGCTATGAGTCTGTACTTTTGACTGTGGTAGGTTTATTAACTTTTAGCACCAATGTAACAGTAATGCAGTTTATGGCCTTATAGAGTTTTCCAGAAGAACTCTTTCACATCATCTATGATCTGAATATTGATAATGTCCCAGGCTTTCTTGAAGAAAATTGCATTAAAGCCATCGATGTCTGGAGCTTTATCATCACCAATTGCTTTGAGGCTCTCAACAATCTCTTGATTGGTTACTTCTGCACATAGATCAACCCTTTGTTGGTGAGATAGTGTAGGCCCAGCTTCATGTATGTTCTGTTGATGGCAAGCAAGGTACTGGCAGCTGTTCCCATTAAACTTTTGTAGAAATCAACAATCTCTCTTTTGATAGCATCAGGGTCGGTCAGCTTGTCTCCTAGCAAAGTTGTAATTTCTGTGATTTGCTTCTTTTGAGTTCTATCCTTCATCACTGCTGTGAAGTACTTAGTGTTTGAATCTCCCAGTTGTATCCACTTTGCTCTAGCTTTCTGTTGAAGGACACTCTCTTCAATTAAAGACCACTTCTCAAGGTTCAGTAATACTTTTTTCTCCATATCAAGTAAAGTATCAGTGCAACCCTGTGAAATTTTTCCTTGTATGTCACTCACCTCAATTCTAGCTTTCTCAATTTTCTGAGTTATGCCCCTGAATCCTTAGAATGTAGAGATTTCAAAGCAGGTTTCAGATCTTTCAATCTAGCCCAAACTGAATTCAAATTACCCTGTGGACTATGTGAACTCCATATGCTAGTAACTATTTGAGAGAAGCCATCATGTTCTGGTCATATGTTAAAGAATCTGAAAGGCACTCTACCTTTCCATGTGGAAGATGTCAAAGTTAGGATAGGAGCATGATATGATATTTGAGGCAATCCATAGTTTGTTTCTACATGACCCCAGGACATCATCCATTCATAATTGCCAAACACTCTATCTAACCTGCTGCTGACCCTATCAGATCCATGTTGCTTGATAGACTATGTATAGTAATCACCTTTCCAAGGCAGTTCTGTTAATGTAGTGTTCTGAAGGCAGACAACAAAGTCTTGGATCTCTAAGTAGCTTACTGGGTTACCAGATAACTTGTCATTGGGGTATAGCACAGAGGCGTATCCAGGATTTTAATAACATGGGTGCACCATTATCTTTAGGCAAAATACATAAGTTGCCACCCGAATTATGACCCAAATCCCTGTTACACACTTTCTAGGAACGAATATTACTTTACACACCCAACCTTTTCAAAGTGTATCTAAGACGCACCACTTTTTTCTTAACCAGTTTTTCAGAATATATGCAATATCACGCACCAATCAAATTGTGACATGTGTCATTTAAAAAATAAAATAATTAAAATTACAATCATACCCCTCATCTTCCTCATCTAAACTACCATGGTCGTCTTCCTCCTCTCTCACCATCAATTACCATAGCTTCTTCCTCCACCTTTTACTTAATAGCAAAGCCACCATTAACTAACAAAAATCACCAAACACACCCAAAACTCCATCTTTTCCGCTGAAATTGAATCAAAATTTTTGAGCTCAGATCCAATTTCATTTCACTTCTGTAAAAGTTCGACCGCCATTAACTGCCATCGCCACAAGTCAACTATTTAAAAAATCATCCATTAATAAAATTAAAGAATGTGCAAATCTTGAGCTAAGCTTTAATGGTTGGAAAATATTTTGAAAAATTCTCGCTTCCTGAAAATTTGACTTCGCCATGGGTAAAGCTTAAGTTAAGCTTCTCTACAACGAGAAGAGATATAAGAAATCGTGGTATATCTATTTGAGAAGAAGGAAATCGGGTGGTGGAGCTCAAGGAGTAGCTATGGCAGAATTTTTAAAAAAGGAAGAAGATGACTCAATTTAAAATTTTAAAAAACTAAAAGAAAATTGACATCTGACACAAAATTCTTCTGTTCACGCGACTCATTTGTTGGGATAAACACGCACTATCCACGTGGGCAAAGCAGTGTGTATTAGATACACTTTGGAAAGGTTGGGTGTGTAAAGTAATATTCGTTCCTAGAAAGTGTGTAACAGGGATTTGGGTCATAGTTTGGGGGGTAACTTATGTATTTTGCCTTATCTTTAAGATAAATGTTTGGTTCGATTATAAAAAAATTGTGGTGATAACAAGTTAACGAGCAAACTATATTAATATTTTTTTTTAATCCAATAAAGATTCAAGGTTGAGTTATTGGACATTACAAGCAGTGATATAATATTTCAGATAAGCAGAAAAACAAACTCCAAATAAGCATGTCTGGATACTATACAATGAAATGTGCTTGATACCCAATAAAGGAAAAGAAAAGCAACATACCCATTAATTAAGAGCGGGGGAAAATGCTGAAAAGCAAAAGCTACTGAGATTTGACAATTCCACTACAATAAGCAAAATGAAATGTTAAAGATTAACCTAGCTAAGGAACTGAAGGAGCCATCGTTTTGTCAAGAAGAAGAGGACGATTTTTTTTTTTGAATTGGTAACTTTTGTATATATTAATAACATCAGTACATAGGTTGCACCGAAAACCAAATTTACATGAAGAGGATAAGTAGATGTTCTGATTTGAGACCTAGCAAGATCCTAGTATGTCTATGATTGTCAATGTATCTTCTGTGTAAATCTGTTTACACCAAAAACAAAAAAGAAGAATACAATTGAGTTTGATCTTCTGTACTGGATTGCTTCTATCTTCAAAACATCTAGCGTTCCTTTCCCTCCAAACTGTCCACCAGATACAAGCCGGGACAGTCCTCCATCTGTCTCTACTAGTTGCTTCAGCTCTAGCTTCTTCCCAGCTATAAAGGACATCTTTAAGCCTGTATGACATTGACCATGAAATGCCCCTACGACTAATAAAGATTTTCCATAGTTGGTCTGTAATCTTGCAATGTAGAAATAAATGGCTAACAGTTTCAGTATTTTCCCCACATAGAAAACATCTTGAACACAGAGAAATTCCCCTTTTTATGAGATTATCCTGGGTTAATACAACCTCCTTTGCTAGTAGCCAAGAGAAGCATGCTACCTTGTATGGAATCGTTGTTCTCCATATATGTTTCCATGGCCATGCGTCTACCTGTTGATTATTATGATTCAAAATCTTATATGCATCCTTCACCTGATAAAACCCTCTGTTGTGCCTCTGCCACCAAAGTGAATCAAACCCTTCTTGTAAACCTTTAAATGCTTCCGGCTCTTTGTAAAGGTGAGCTAATCTTGTTATCTCCCAGTCATTCAACTGTCTTCTGAGAGAGATTTCCCATCCTTGATGACTCCTCATATCAACTACTGTCCTATGCTGGTTTTGTGCCAATCCAAACATATCGGGTATCTTTCCTTTAAGCTTCCGTGTCCCAACCAGTTATCATTCCAGAATGATGTGTTCCTTCCGTTGTTCACTCTTATGGAAGAGTGATTCTTCATTATAGGCCAAAGTTCTCTGATGGATTTCCACACTTACTCCATATGATGTTCTGACTTTTTTTGACACCCAGTTATTTTCCTCACCGTACTTAACTTTGATCACTTTGCTCCATAAAGATTGGGGTTCTTGAGAGTACTTCGATAACCATTTCATTCTAAGAGCCTTGCTTTGATTCTTCAAATTCCTAATTCCTAAACCACCTTGTTTTTTAGCCATTGTGAGTGTCTTCCATTTAACTAAATGGAAGACCTGTTTCTCCTTATTACCTTGCCAAAGGAATGATCTTCGTAGTTTGTCCAATGTCTGTAAAATTCCGGCAGGAATTGGAAACAAAGACATCATATAAGTAGGAAGTAAGTCTAATAGTGAGTTGATTAGAACTAGCCTGCCCCCCAATGACAGGTATTGCGATTTTCATCTTGACAACTTCTTCTCACGCTTTTCTATAACTGAATTCCAGATCTCTTTTGATTTGGATCTTGCACCAAGAGGCATCCCATGGTAAACAGTTGGTAGGGACCCAACTTCTCCTCCCAATATCTGTGTCAGTTGCTCCATGTTGTTAACTTCATTAATGGGAAAAATATTGCTCTTCCTTCAGTTGATGTGTAATCCCGAAACTCCCTCAAATAAGACCAAAATGATCCTTAGGAATCTAAGTTGTTCCTTTTTAGCGTCACAGAAGACTAGAGTATCATCCGCATATTGAAGATGTGTGATCTCTAGATTGTTTGCCCCACTCCTTTTTATCTCAAAACCTTTAATCCATCCACTGACTTTAGCCGTTTTGATCATGTTGTTCAATCCTTCCATGGCTATAATGAATAGAAAGGGAGATAAAGGATCACCTTGTCTTAGACCTCTGTGAGAATGGAAAAAACCTTTAGGAGATCCATTTATGATAATGGAGAATGTTACAGTAGATATGCAAAATTTCATCCATCTGTTCCATTTCTGCCCAAAACCCATGTGTTCTAACATTTTGAGTAGGAAGCTCCAATTTACACGATCATAGGCCTTCTCAATATCTAATTTGCATAAGATTCCAGGTTCTTTCTTTTTGATTCTTGAATCCACAGCTTCGTTGGCAATCAATACTGCATCTATTATTTGTCTTCCTTTGATGAAAGCTATTTGTTGAGCATCAACAATTTTCCCTACCACCCTCTTAAGTCTTTCAGTCAAGACTTTTGAGAGTGAGAAGGCACGAGAGAAAATATGATATATTGATATTGTGTGTGATGCAATACAAGAGGTGCTATTTATAGCTACTTTATACAAAGGGAATACTACTCCTATTCCAATGTGGGACAATTACATAGCTATCTCTAACACTCCCCCTCAAGCCG